TGGGGGATGGGGGTGGGGATGGAGGTGACTGTTCCTACATTTCTGGTGGGGGATGGGGGTAGAGGTGACTATTCCTACATTTCTGGGGGTGGCGGAAACTGGAGAAGGGAACCAGGGTTGGAGAGGGGAGTGCCTCGGCCAGGTTTATGCTGTGCGAGCCTGGGGCTCCGGGAGGCTCTCTAGGAATGGTGGAGAATCCAGGGGTTTCCCAAGGGTGTTCCTGTGGGTGTACCACGCTGCTGAGGCCCGGGCAGCCGGGAGTGCCAAGCGAGGGCCTCGTGGATGGAGGGAAGGAGCGGCTCCAGGGCTGAGTGCCCGAGGGTCCGGGAAGGGCCCTCGTCCTTCAGTTCCAGCAGCACAGAGGTCCTCACATCCCCAGTGCTGAGTTGTGACTGAAGCATCTCATCCTCAGATTCACACGGCACCGCCTTCTCCACAAACACTTTCACCACCCCACATACCAGTCAAAGGAAAACATTGCAGTTACATTACATTACATTACATTTACACCAAAGATCTTACCCCTGTAATACAAAGCAGCTTCCACTTCCAGGTTTGCCAGGTTAAATACGAATAAGCCCAACGAACTTCCAATCCACATGCATTGGGGGTTCTCAGAAGAAAGACTGATTTAAGGAAAAAAAGTAAAGAATACACACTAATCTTATTCTTGAAGACTGGGCCCCACACCCGCCCCCTCGCCTGGCTGTGAGCTCTCCGCAGGACTGGGCAGCGTGGGCCGGGGCCGGTTCTTGCCAGTGAGAACCACATCTGTGCCAGGCTGGCATTTCAGCCTGTGGTGGGTCCCCTGGGCACCTGCTAATGTCTGTGAAGATGCTCGCTCTGACCTCTGTGGTTTCTATTTTCTTCTAAGGTTTCAGAAAATGTTGGCGCCAGTGCCTGGGCCAAGGCCACTGCTCAGGTAGCCTCCGAGTGACTAGACTTGAAGGCCACGCAAGCTGCCCACCCCTGGGAATGAGGAACCAACTCCAGGAGGAAAGTAGCTGGCCCGAGGCGGCAGAGTTAATACCACTGCCAACGGGGTCTGTTAATGCACTGAGAAGTCACCTCCAGAGAGGCTGGACGTGGACTTGGCAGAGGCCCCCAGCTGGAACCTGTTTTCCAGACCTCCCCTTCTCCAGCTCCGCCCCAGACAGCGCCCTGGGCACCTCCTGGGCATCCACCAGCACCAGTCCGCGGTTCACCCAACGACTATCGTCAACAGAATGGGTCGTGTGGCTCCGGCTTAGCTCTGAGGGATCCCTCTGCTCTAGGTAAGACAGGGAAGCCTCAAAGTGTTCAGGTCCATGCACCTGCCGGGAGCACAGCATCCAGCCTCCATGCCCACCCTGCTTCCTCTCTGTGGTTTGGACCAAGCAGGGAATATTCTGCTCCAGGGGCTGCTCTGCACAGAGACACAGACAAGCAATGGCCAAGGCCATTCAAAGCAAGGTTGCCCCCTAATCTCAAGCATTTTGGAGAGGAGAGGTAAACGTAATTGTAATACATTCTTTAATCACAGTTAAACAGTACTTCCTTACGTTGCCAAATATGTATAATATTTCTACTGAGCACAGAAATAAATAAAATCTGTCTGAGGTTAACTTTAAATGTGTAAAGTACAGCACAGTGGTAGATGGGAAAGTCTAGGCCATTCCGATCACCACTTCCCCTTTCTAAAGAAAAAGTTGTATCACAGAGGCAAAGATCTGCCTAAACTTTGGTAATAAGCTTAAAAATCCTCCAATTCCTTTTATTAAAGATACTTACATATCATTGCCCAAATTTACCAACTTTAAGATTTAAAACATGCCATCCCAAGAATGAGGTTAGTAATAATCAGAGACAAAAATAATTCGGTTTTATTTCAGTCATTCTTAGAAAATGAACTTAACGTTCCTCTAAGGAATTTAAGAGTTTCCTTTATATGGCATAGGCCAAGTTTTTGATGCTTACCATCCACATGCAGAATTTGGGATGAGTGAGAGATCGCAGGGTGCAAGTCTCAGTATAGGAAATGTTACTTCAACCTGCTCTCCTTTTCCCAGAACACTTGTAGATGGAAGCTGGCTTTCTTCTAGGGAACAGAATCATTGACAATCTGAGAAGTGAACTTAAACGCATTTGTCAGGTTTAAAGGCTGAGGACTGCCACACAGAGACGCTGCAGTGAATGTGCACCGCGGAGTCACTCGGATCACGCATCGAGGAAAGTACCAGGGTAACACCCAGCACAACACCCAGCATGACGCGTGGGGATCACGTGTCGAGGAAAGCACGAGGGTAACACCCAGCACGACGCATGTGCACCGCGGAGTCACTCGGATCACGTGTCGAGGAAAGCACTAAGGTAACACCCGGCACAGCACGTGTGCACCACAGAGTCACTCGGATCACGTGTCGAGGAAAGCACTAGGGTAACACCCAGCACGACGCGTGTGCACCGCGGAGTCACTCGGATCACGTGTCGAGGAAAGCACTAAGGTAACACCCGGCACAGCACGTGTGCACCACAGAGTCACTCGGATCACGTGTCGAAAGCACTAGGGTAACACCCAGCACGACGCGTGTGCACCGCGGAGTCACTCGGATCACGTGTCGAGGAAAGCACTAGGGTAACACCCAGCATGACGTGTGGGGATCACGTGTTGAGGAAAGCACGAGGGTAACACCCAGCAGCATGCTGCCTGGGAGCGATGCGACTTCAAGTACAGAACCAGAGCAAGGGAGTGGGAAAGAGGAGATGATTAACTGAAAGAATTTAACTTCATATTTGCTAAAACTAAGCTTAAGATTTGCTTCAGTAGTAGATAATTATTTATCAAATAAATAACAAAAATGAAGGTTTAAAACGTCAGGAAAAAATTGATGTACTGGATAAAGGTAATTTCAGACCTAATATGAAAAAAATAGCTTAAAGTCATCTACAAAAAAACACAACCTAAAAGAAAGAATGAGTAACCAGAGTGAGGAAGGGTGTGTAGGCTGTGAGCACAGGGATGACCACTGCAATACGAAACGTCGGCTGCACACACCAATGAAAGAGGTGGCCCCTGGACTGAAAAGGAAAATCAACGTTTTCTTCCAGGAGAGGGTCAGCTCCTTTGTGACAGTACAGGAGATAAAAAGCGCACAGAAGTGAGCTGTGGTCAACAGGAAGCAACTCTGGACAGCAGGAGACGAGGTGAGGACGAGGGTGCAGGGCGGGTGCAGGTGGCATCTGAGATTCACAGGCCAGGTGGGGACGTGGAGGGTGCTGGGCAGGTGCAGGTGGCATCTGGGTCATGCAGTGTACTTTTCTGATCAGCATGACCTTCCCTCCTTGGTCGCCCACTGCAGGAAAGCAACCCACAGCCGCGCAGCTGCTGCCATGGGGCCTCTGCTCTTCTGTTCACCAAAGCCCCTCACCCTTGTCCCCACACACACCAGGTGCCTCCGTCTGCTGATGGCCCACCCCTCACATGACCTGCAGGGTCTCGGTGGTTTTCTGAAGTTGCGGCCATCGGCTTCTCCTACACTGGCACCTCTCTCTCCCCTCTGTGTGACCTAGGGCCCTCGACATGGCGCCTGGTGAAAAGACTGGGCCAAGTGGGAGGCCTGAGGGAAGGTCTGAGCAACCCACCTGGCCGACTGCACAGCCCAGACTTAAGCCTTCTCGTGGAGAAAGTCTCTGTCTTCTTCCTTAGGTCAACCCGTGCCACACGACGATAGTGGTGTCCATCCATCAAACTGAAGATCCAAAGCTACAAAAGCAAAGAACATGCAGACACGGTGCTGCAGCAAAGGTCCTTACGCAGAAGCAGCAACACCAGAGGAGCAGCAGTGAGGACAGACACGTCACAGGAAATTCCCTCCACAGCCTGCAGAGGCTCCCAGCACAGCTCTCTCCTGCCTTCAACATCCACCCTGGAGGTCCTCCTTACAGCCCACGCCCACGGTGTCAGAGCACTTTTGCACGGCTGGCACATCAGCTCAGAGCACACAGGCAGGATCCTATTGTGCAGGCCTCCCCAAGATGCTCCTCCAGGACCCCCGGGCGCCAGGCTCTCTGCACACACCCCACAGCTCCTCCAGGACCCCCGGCGCCAGGCTCTCTGCACACACCCCACAGCTCCTCCGGG